TTGGGTGGATTGTTTGTCTTAGTACCTTAGACTCTGCTCAGCACTTTAATTTATGTGGGATAAACAACTTAGAAGGAGAACTTCTGTACATACAGCTTCTGTGCTTCCATGATTAGATTGAAGGGGAAACAGGGGTCCCTTTTCCTTTCTCCTAATGAAGCTTCTCACTGGCTTAGCAAGAACACAGGACTGTATTGTGGTTCACTGAGCGTAGCTGTGAGCTGCAGAACATCGTTTCAATTAGGGTTACACAGAGCCAATCTAATCAGCGGTTTAGTCCTCTGATTGCTGTCTTTTCTGCTCTCCTTTTGAGGCAGGTGCTGTGACAGTAAATCCAGAGCAGCAAAAATGAATTTGAAACAGAAGCAATTTCATAAGTAAGCTGAGGAGGAGAAATAATCTCACAACCACCTGCCCATGCAAACTTGCTCCTACTGCCTTGTTCCGCTCTTGGCTTATGTTTCATGCAGGACCTTAGTCAGACCTGCCAGGAAAATGTCTTTGTCCCACCAGGACTCTGCTGTGTGTCTCTTCTCATCTGGTGCTGGCTGGAAGGGGGATTGTCTCCAGAAGCAACTAATAAGATTTATATTGGTGTGTGGAAACATCATGTAAATGATGCAATTAATTGGAGTGGGGGAGCCAATTAATTTTTCAGTTTGCTAACCAATTGCAATTTTGAAAAAGGATTTTGAAAAATTCCTCTCATCTTCAGTAACTGAAAGAACGTTTTCAGTATTTTTTTTTAAATGTTCTGCAGCAGAAATTCAAGACTTTTTTGGCAAAACAGAAAAGAAAAATTCGATCTAATGAAACAATTGATACATTCAAGTTGGGCTCAGGAAAACAGTAAAGTGTAATGTAATTTCAAAGGAAAACTGAAATGTTCTGTTCTAAAAAGAAAAAAAACCCAACAATATCTGCAAGGTTTTTGCTGGAAGTATTTTATCAATCTGACACAAATTTAAGGAGCTTTGATCAAACCATTTTCCAGTAAACAGTATTCATGTTTGGAAAATGTTAGCAGATTTTCTATGTAGTGCTCTGCCAAGGAAACCAGAGTCTGCTGTTCAGTTCTTTCTGTGTTTTCCAGAGCTCTGGTTATAAAAACATCAGTCCCCTCAATTCATCCGTGCAGCTCTGATTAACATCGCTATGGGTTCTCACTTGAATTGAGGGCAGCATTGGAAATTGGAGGCTATTCAAGCACAGACAAGCAAATCAGAAGCCGAAGACAGGTGACATGGAATTAAAAGTGAGATGAGGTGTAATGATGGAAACACAGCAGTTGCTGGTATTAAGCTTTTTGGAAAGCTGCACTAGCAACATCTGCTGTTTCTCCTTCTACCCCTAGCCATTCCTCCTCAACCCGGTTTTGCTACAGTCTGTTATCAAGAAATCAAGTGTGGTAAGGCAGCTTTTTTGCTTGCCTGCTTTGAACTCAGCATGCCGTCTCTCATCCGCATCCTGACCTTGCAGTTGTGCAAGATAGCTACAGATTCCCCATGCTGGGATTTGTACCTTCAACTCCAGAAAGAGAATGATTACAAACCTGCAGTCTGAATCCCTCTAACTCAAGTGTGCCAGCCAGATTCTCTCTTACCTGTCAATTTTATTTAGATATGCTGTTCCTTCTCTAAAGTCTTGGAGCAGTTAGTATTTCTGTTTCTGGTTAAGCAGCTCTTTGTGATCTCATTTGTTTGTGAGAATATATGTGATTCTAGTAGATACCAGGTGGAAATTACTCTGTATGTGTGTGTGTGCAGTGTGACCCCCTGTGCCACTTTACTGTGCTTTTTACTGTATGTTCACTGCAAAAATGCTCTTAAGTTTAAGGTGACATTCATGCTCCCTCTGGTGTGCCTGGCTGCATGAACAGCCAGTCGAACCAGGATCTGTGTGTTTAGGGGATATCTGGTGCTGTCTGTTCCAGTCCGGTGTACAATGAAGCAGACATTATATACGTATCCTGCACACACACTTCCAGTGCAGAGAAGCTCTCCAGCCCCTGTAATGACATTATCAGCTCAGAACACTCTTTGCCTTCAGGACTGTGTCTTTGCCTTCAGGGCTGATATCTTTCTCCGAGGACAGAAAAGAAAGGCCGGTTCTTATGCCTCACTGCTTTTTTTGGAGGGAGTGATTAGGTAGGTAAACCACAAAAGCACTGAACATCCCATACCACTACCCACAACAGACACGTCCCAGATGCACCAGTTGCAGATCCAGAATCAAAACTCTGTCAGCATTTTGGCGGTCTGGTTTTACAGTGCAGTTCAGCTGCTGTGGATTGCAAGCGTTCCCCGCTCTGAACAAGCACCTAGCGCTATTGCGTAGCACTCGGTTGCTAGAGCCACAGCTCACCCTTTATAAAGAGATTAACGCTTGATTTTGAAAAGTACAGTAAGGGAAAAACCCTCAGCGTGTTCTTCCAATGTTTAATGACAATCACAGTTAGACTGCTCCTTGTTTTTTTTTATGGGCTGGTCTGAAATCACTGTATCCCATGGATCATCCCAGAACTGAAGGGAATGGTTCTTAGCAGCTTCCTTCATCTGTGAAGTTCCCTGTAAATCAATACTGAATCACCTCTTTCCTGAAAGAAGCTGAATATGTTGTACTTACTCACTGATGTTTTTCAAGCCTGATTCTTGTGGATATTTTCTGTACCTTTTCATGCTTTGCAGCTAGACAGTAGAACTAAAACATGATACTGTATGCCTTCCTAGCATTGTATGTGGTAGTGACTAGTATCTCCCTTATACTTTACAATTTCCTTCTTATTTGTGCAATAATTGTCTCACCTTTTTCTGGTGGTAGATTTGGAACTCCACTGGTTATATTCAAGGGTCTGCCATTTGAGAGTTACTTTTTAGGACACCAGGATACCAGCTCCCCTCTTCAGAGTGTCATTCAAGTTCTCTGCTGCCAGATGTTTGATTTTACGCTTGCGAGAGTAAGAGGCATGTCCTTAAACTCTTACTCTTTTATCCGTTACAGATGTAAAAGATACATCACACACTGAAAAAACCAAACAATCTGGATGTTGTCTATGCACAGAGATGTACCCACATCTGTACATAAAGATCTGAGATCTGACTGGTATAGGATTGAAAGGAAATTCCTCTGGAATCTCCCTGGGAACTGCTACCCAACATAGCAGTCCACTCTTAACCATTCCTTCTTGGAAACTATCAGCTGACCAGTTTAAACTAGAATGCTGTATGGGACAAATTAAATATCATACTGTGGTCTCAGTCAATAATATCAATAGTTGACTTACCTTGAAAGTTGTGATTTCATGAAAGTGTCAAAACAAGTTTAATGGACAAGCCCTTGTTTGCAGAAAATTTAATTGACATGAGCTGTGCTGCCGGCCTTTAATTCTTAAAGCCTGACATGATTTGGGGGTTAAAATACAGAAAAAGAAGCCCTTCCACATCCAGGCCTCCATTCCATACCTGCCACTAGCTCCTGCTCTGTAGATTTGCAGCAGTTGGCAAGGTGCTGTCTGTTTGCCCTGGTCCCCTACAGGAACTAGAAGTGACCAGACAGGGACCAGCAGCAACGACATTTGAATCAGAGCAGAGGTTTGCTAATGGGTGCAGGGCCTGAGGATACATCTGGTTCAGGAGGAGGGTTAATACAGCTTTTGGTCTGATCCAAACTGGCTGGTGCCTCGTCTAGAGGTGACCTTTCTACACTCACCCCTGAGCTTCAGCTACAAAATGAGCTGTGCACAGACATGCAGCCAGGGCGCCAGGTACAGGCATACACAGACACACAGAGACACAGAATTTACTAGGCTGAACCCTTCAAATCCAAACAGCTTCGGTACACAAAAGTGAAAAGGAAGCCAATAGGCAGGTGCTGTCATCAGTTCAAACTGGCATATGTTGTCAGGATAGAGGACCCTTGAAACGGCAAGAACGGGGATCTAATCGACATTAATTCTGTAAGAAAATCATTCAAATCAGCATATACCAGCTCCTTCTAAATCAGTGCTGGCATAGTTACTGATTCACGTGCTGGTAGGAGAACAGAGATATGAAAGCCGTTATGCAGAGAGCCTGTCTACATCTGAAACCCTCTCCTTTGAGAAGGCATTTGTGCTCTGGTGAAAGGGCATCCCTGGCAGCATCTCATCCCGCCGCGTTGAATGGTTCTGTCCTTCAGTCCAGGAGAGTGCATCCCTTCAGTGCCAGGTGCACTCTCAGACCAGACAAACTCATTAGGCCGCCTTTTCCAGCCCGTTGAAAGGCACAGTGCTGAGCTAATATTTTGCTGCAGGCTAGGGAGTCCAGCTGGAACATGACATTTGCTAGCCTGCAGTTTTCTTAAAGCTGGGGCTAGCAGGGCACGGGCAGGTAAGACGGGAGCTGCAGCATGTCTGAGGTCTCTTGCTTGGGCCAGCTGAGCTTTTCCAGCATGTAAAGTCCTCGTGTCCTTTATCCATAGAGAACTTTCCTTTCAACTAAAACCACATAATTGACTCCAGAGTGAACGAGTTGCATGAGACAGATGAGGAAAAGGTGTAAGCTGAAGGAGAGTAGCTGAAGACTCGGGAGACTTCACTGGAGTTACATTTTTGAGGTTTTCCTTTGGAAACACACACACAAAAATTGCAGCCTTTAGATTTGTTCTCTTTTTCTAATGGCCGTTCAGATTTTGAGGTGCATACTGGGAATCTTCCAGATTCCTAAGCTTTGCTACCACTCTGCCACACTTATCCAAAGCAGCTTTCCTGTCTAACTAAGAATATGTGTCCTGTTGGGCACATTTTTATGGGATCTTGAGGTTTGTTGATCGTACCACAAAAGCAGAAGACATCATGTTTGTCATCTTGCTGCTGGATCACAGAGACTGTACACAGATCCCATAATGACAGTGGAGGGAAGACAGTGCCAACAACTCGAGGAAGGTCTGGCAGGAAGCTTTGAGGAAGCCTCCCGTGCTTTGACATATCAGAATGACTTTTTCTCTCTTCGCTTTCTCTACAGGCAAGAAAAATTCCATTCTGTTGCATAAAGTCCAGCATGACCTCAATTCAGGTGTTTTCAACTACCAAGAGAATGAGATCATCCAGCAGATTGTACAGCACGACAGAGAGATGGCACACTGTGCTCACAACGTTCAGGCTGCCGCCGCCGCTGCTGCCGCCGCCGCCTCGACACCCACCCCTGTCATCTGGACTCCGCTGATCCAGGCACCCCTGCAAGCTGCAGCAGCCACCACTTCTGTCGCTATAGCGCTGACCCACCACCCTCGCCTCCCCACAGCCATCTTCCGTCCTCCGGTGTCCGTCCTGGGTTCCTTGGGACAGCAGTCCAACCAGACTCCAAGACAGCTGAAAAGGCTTCAGTCTCTCATCCCGTCAACCGGCCCTTCTGCCGTTGGCTCTCCCTCCAGTACTCCATCCCAGCTCCATACACCAGGAGCAGAAACCCCTTCGTCCTCTTCCTTCCACATCCAGCAGCTCGCAGGTTTCTCAGCTGCTGCCGGCTTAGGCCAGTTCCAGGTGGGATCCCCTCCAGGTGGCTCAAACCAGCCGGGTTTGGGCGGCGCATCCTCGGTGGGACTGAGCCAGTTCCAACACGCACCTTCTGGATCGCCCCTGGGTGCAGCTCAGCCCATGCAGCAGCAGCAGCAGCAGCAGCAGCAGCAGCAGCAGCAGCAGCAGCCACCAGCCCTTTCCAGCAGCGGATTTGGGCACTTCCAGCAAGCCACAACAAGCTCCCCATCAACATCACTCACCCAGCTCTCATCAAACTCACCCCCCAGTCTTCTCAACCAGTTCCAGCCCACCACAAGACCACTGCAGGGGGGACAGTTACAGCAGCTCTCGGGCAGTGGGACTTTGGGGGGAATGAACCACTTCCAACCCCCTCCTTCTTCCAACTCTCCATCCTCCAGCCTAAGTCAGCTGGCACAGGCCTCGGGTGGGCCGTCCTCAGGCCTGTGCCAAACACATCCAAGTGCATTAGGATCTTTAACTGGAACCATAGCCCAGCTCCACCAAGAGCGGCCACCTTTTGCCTCCATGTCTCCACTACAACAGTCTGGTGTCGCCTCTCCCTGTTATACCCCTTCTGGCCTTAGTCCTCCTAGTCAGAGCCCAGTGGCAACAAGAACTTTTCAGTGTGGCCCTTCGGGGACCTCCGGCTCTCACGGATCTCTGCTCCTGCCTCAGACCGCCAGCCCACCTCCGCAGATCCTGCAGTCCAAGATCACGCCGCCTGTGCCACCGGGACGTCTGAACCAGGACATCAAGTTGATTTCTGCTTCCCAGCCATCTTTGCCCCAGGAGCTGGCTCAGACACTGAGCCAAAGTTCTCCTCATTCCTCTAGAGAATCTGTTTCCAGTTTCTCTCCTTTTCCTGGTGGAGGGACCGGACTCCTTGGGAAGCCTTGTAGCTCAATTCCTGGGCGTGTGACTTTACCGCGTCAGATGTCCTCAGGTTCTTTACCACATCCACTGGTGTTTGGGGCCAGCGCTGCAGGCGCTGCTTCTCTGACTGCTGGTGGGCGGAAAGAATCCATAGTGCTCACAGGGGATCTGGAACCTGTCAGATCCAAACTGCCCTCCAATTTGTGAGGACTCCTTCTGAGAGCTGGTTATGTCAGCCGTGCAATTCAGTTCCTGAATAGACTTTCATGACTCATTTTTTCCTTTTCTTCCCCCCCCCCCCCCCCGCCCCTCCGCCTTTTTTCTCCATTTCTTTTGTTTAGGTTTAACTGTGATTAGAAACAAACAAAAACCACACAAAAAAAAACCCAACAAAAAAAGAAGATAACCAGGTATTCTTAGAGCTATAGATTTTTGGTCACTTGATTTTATAGAATATTTTAATACATGGAACAAAAGGATATGAGCAAATTTAATCCAACGAGGTAACGCACAGACAAGGCGCGTGCCTGAGCAGGAACATATGAATGATCAGCCATAGAAGCCACCAAAAAAGGTTTTCCTGTTGAGACAAAGATCCGAGGTTGACGTGGGCCATAAAGGGGAACATCAGGTTGGACCTGTAGCTGGTGTTTTTAGAACAGCTCTGGTTGGCCTCAGCTTTGCATCACTTTGCACCAGCTGTGAACCTGGCCCGCAGCACCTAGTTATGGGGGGGACTTGGATGGCACTTCCTCCCGGGTTTTCTCCTGTGATCAGCAGGTTGCAGAGGAAGCAAGAAGAGGGGTGAGTCTCATTAATGCAGTCCCCTCTAGGGATTTCAGAAGGGCTGAGTTTTTGTTTGGACTCCATCTGAAGAAGATAAAGGTGACCAGGAGATGGACGGGCCTGTCTTCAGATGCTTGTCTCTTTCTTATTCCACTGATGCTCTAGTGGGAACAAGAAGCAATCCCTTGAAAGTCACAAGGAGGGCAGTGAATATCCCCTCTGTATTTTCGCAGGCATCGTGGATGTGGGTTGTGGGACCAGGCAGCTGGCCTCAGCTAGCAGAAGAGCCCAAGCTTCAGCGTCTCCATGGTCTGGAAGGTGTGTGTGCTGCCTTCCAGGTTGGGGCGTGCAAAGCAAGGGGAGGGATGAAGAAAAAGGCAGCACTTTAACCTTCCCTCTCTCATTTTAATGTCTCAGTGTCCATGGGCTGACTGCTTTGAAGAGAACTGGGTAGAAATGAGATTGAAAAGTGGGGTGCGGTCACCCCAGCCCTCTTCCTCCTTAGCCCAGGGGAGTTTGAGCTTTGAGGCACGGAGGGTGATACTGGTGCCCAGCCAAGAATCCTCCAGATTTGCAACTGTGTTTGTACCATTAAACCAGATTAGACCAGAAATTCGGCCAGCCATGGTCCATGCTTCTCCTCTGATGGAGGAATTGAAATCTTTTGCTTGATTTCACCAGCAATAACGGCCTGCACCTGATTGGCTTTGGTCTCACCCTGCAGTTGCAGCATCACTGGACACATCTGGGGCCTGGCAGGCACCTTGAGCTGGATTTTTTGGGCTCCCCTGATTTAAGGCAGTCAAAGTGGGATGAAGACAGTAAGGGGCCATTGGGTGCACACAGCACTGAGAAGCTACAGCCTTTGCCTCTAGAGCAAATGTCTCCTTTTCTTTTACTTTGATCCTTTCTTTCTCTTTTTTTTTTTTTTTTTTTTTTTTTCCTTAGACCAAGAGGTGTCTCCGGCCACCTCAGTGTAAAGAGTCAGGTGCTCAACTTTTCTAACACTAGTTAGAAAGACATGTCTAGCCTCCCTCTGTTTCCAGCTATCATGGGGTCCCTCCAACCCTCAGAGGGAAAGCAGGACTTCGTGCAGCAGTGCCAAAAATCTTACTATTATCACGGTAATGATACAGGTACATATAACTCCTTCTCTTACCTTCTCCCACCCCCAACTCTCTCCCAAAACACTGGCTGACAGTTGGTTTTTATACCAAATTGTTTGCAAAACTCTTGACATGTGCCTGTATCTTGAATGTTGCTGCAAGCATTCCTGGGCAGTCCTGCTTCAACGTGCTTTGGCGGCTCAGAATTCAGATGTAATCAGCTTTGGTCTTCCTTAAAGGGTCAGGGGAACTCTAGAAGTGTTTTTTCTACTAGCTACATACAACTATATATGTGTGAGCGTGTGTGGTGGGAGGGGTGCGTGCGCCTGCGTGTGTGTGTGTGTGTGTGTGTGTGTGTGTATAGATTTTATATATGTATCTATAAATACACACATGCTTTTATATATATAGTATACAGTTATACACATACGTAGTCTATTTATGCACATGTGTAAGCACACACACGCACACACACACATATATTTATATATATATATCTATATCTATCCTAGTTTTAAAATACATGTCAATTTTGACCCTCCTGTAGGACTGATTGGCAGGTGATAATTATAATATATGGATCCTGCTTTTCCAAATATGTACAGGTTCATCTTGAAACAGAACCAGTTAGTGGAATTGAAGCAGACTCACAGACCCTCTCATATTTTCATAGGTATAAGGCAGTTCCTGGAAGGAAGACTCACAATATCCTTTTAAGTTTTATATGTGTTCTGGCAATCTTTTTTCCCTGTATGCTAGAGGGCCCCTAGAACGAGCATCTCAAGAGGTTGGGAGCTAAGCTGGTTGGGACTGGGGCTTCTAATACAAGCAGGTGGGAAAGGTTTTCAGCCCAGCAATGCCAAGCCCTCATGGATGACTGTCCTGTGACTGCTGCATTGGTACTTGAATCTCAACAACCCCTGTGGACACTCAGACAAATGGAGGTGCACAGAAACACCCTGAGGGCTGTCTCTGGTAGACGTGCGTTCCATCCACCAGTCTGGTGAACATCCTTCTTCAGTTGGGTTCCTTTGTTTTGTTTTTCACGGGTATATTGTTTGATTTTCCAGTTCTTAGCAGTGCAGTAGCCAATATTGAGTTATTCCGACTGGACCCCAGTCAACACTAGGCTTGTCTCAGTAGGTGGAACTATATTTATTGTTATTTTTTGTTTTATTTTGGGGGGAAGGGAGGGAAGAGTTCTAGGGGTGGGGTTTGCAATATAAAACACACAATAAAAACCTTAGTAAATAAAAATGTGAAAAACCCAACCCTCTGACTTGCTGTCTGCTTTAAGTGTTGAAGTTCAGGCAACATCAGATGAGGTTTCAAGATGGAAAAAAACCTTGGGTGGCACTTCAGTCCTCTCTTTCCTGTCGAACAGAGAAGATGCAGGGGTTTGTCTCACTTCCTGTCTGTATTCTCCTGATCTCTTCGGAGCTTCAGTAGTGTGTTTGCTTGCTGCCACATCTCCACCTCACACGTTCTTGGAGGAAGTCTGTTTTAAGCCATTGACAGTAGAAGTTTAAAACTTTTGCTTACACTTGAATTTTTAACAGTACGAAGGAAAAATCTGGTTGTTGTTTTGCAAATGTGTATATGAAAATCCTTCACATTAATGGCAGATACGGAAACTCTGGCTGGCTTTGTGATCCTCAGAGAAGAGCCTAAGGAGCCCCACCACAGTCTACAGACATGAACAGCTTGGAACAGGGACAGAAAGCAGACAAAATATGGGAGAAAGAAAGTAGACTTTTCGAGGTCTCAAACTGAGCTAGATGATGATGCCAAGGTCAGGACCTGATGTATTTTAGGTAGGTGAAACTAGCCTCAACTTCTAGCTTTCATTTCACTCCTGTGATACCCTCTCTGAGTCTTTGCCCAAGCCCACTCGAGGGAGTATGCACGTAATTGATGATTTGTGTCAGTAGCTCACACGGGAGCTGTATGGCCTCGTGCCCTTTCTTTGTGGCCAAGAAAATGTAGGGCAGAGCAGCCCAGCTGCTGGAGTGTGTCTTCCAGCCTGTGGCAGTGAGATGTAGCTATCCTCCCTCCCCAGCCAATTGGTATCAAAACCCTCACCCTCCATGCAGTGCCTCGTATTCATTTTTCCTTCTCTGAAATCTCATTTTCTTTGTACCTTCTCATCCAGCAGTTGCATTTAGCCCTCTGACGTTTTGCCTAGCCTCTGAAAGACTTGGCTTTGCTAACACGTCAACAGTGGGTCTTTCCTGCTGAGATGAGAACAAGGTCCAGGACCTTCTTTACCAGGACTCCCCATGCCAGAGATGGCAAAACAAGGAGCCCCAGAGCTATGAATGAAATCAGTATTTTGCAGAGAAGGATGCCCAAACCCTCACACACTCCCACTGACACGGCGCGGTACAGGCTCAGTCCAAGCAGGACACTCCTTTTCTCTTCCCTCCTGCTTTTGATGGTTTAGGAAAACGAGTGACCCTGTTGGTCTCCCTCCATCAGTTCTCTGACCCTGTCTGGCTATAAATGAGCAGAGCTGGTGAGGAGAGGGTAAGCCAAACTTTGTAATCAGAAATGCCATTCCCTTGAAACCAGATGGCTCTGTCCTGGTGGGTCAGTTGTCCTGGAGTTTTGGTGAGGGAAGTTCGGGCAGTAAAATGTTTGTTTTGCCTTTCAAAATGAATGTCTGTGCCAGGCTTTTTTATTTTACACACCATTGCAAACCCAGAGCAAACTGGGATTATGAGTCAGTTCTGCCCAAACAAAAATTTCTTTTAAAATGATGTTTCACAGAAGGTTTGTAAACTTGGAAGGTTTTCATTCTGGAATAGAACAGCATTCAAGTTTTGAGCTCTTAAACTTCCCCATGAAACCTGCCTTGGGTTCCCCACGAACAGTTAGCACGGATTCAGGACACAGCCCCATTGCCACGAGTTGCAGAAGGATGGGCAGGACTGCATCAGGAGGACATCGGGCCCTTCCGGAGGGCATAGCAGACCGCAGGAACACAATAACCTTGAGGGTCTCATGACAAGCGTGATGCCAGAGGAGGCAGTGACACGGCTTAGCTAACGGAGGCTGAGCTTTACCTCCCCCAGAGCATTTCAACCCAACCAGTAGCCACGTCTCTGCTCTAGGCCATTGTGGATTGGGATGGCACAGCCAGCTTTTCCCTGACCAAAGAAAAGCCCTGGCTCCACTCTCCAGAGGAGCGAGAATAAGCCCCATCACTTGTAGACAAGCACACTTGGAAGGGCTTGACCGGTTTAGCATATGTTGATGTCTCCTTACCTTACTGAGAGGACGCAAGACTGCACTGGGATTTCACAATACTTGCGCACCAGCTATCACGAACAAACTTCAGATACCAGAGCCAAGTCATGTTCCTACCAACAGGGTGGTTTCACTCCTACCTCCCCTGCAGTGC